AATATAGCCCTTTTTCAGTTCCACTGAAGGAACTATAGAGAAACCACGGCCGCACAAAACATTCCCCAAACGCAAAAAAAAATCACCAAGGAAAAACACACGCATTGTTCAATAGTTGCCAGTTGCCAACGCTTCTAAGGATAACTTTCAAGAAATTGAGCATCCAAGCTGCAAAGTTTGTCACTTATGTTTGTTGATGCATGCAGAACCCAGACCCATTCATGCATGCTGTCGGCTATGCGTCGTAGCTTCCAGGCAAGCTGGTGAGTGCCCTTTGCCGTGATGAAAGCAAGCTTGCTCTAGGCAAGCCGCTCACTTGCCATTTTGTGTTTCTTGTTGTCGAGCTCGCTGATCCAGGAGAGCTGGATTTGTCGGAGAATCCCTTGGGAGCTGCTGGTGCCAAGGAACTGGCAAAGCTTTTCAGCCACTAAGCTATTCCAAGCTGTCACACTACTGCCTAGTGACCTGCAGCAGCACTGGAATGACTGACTCGTTTGATGCTCCCAAACCTCATTACTAGTGTGTGTTGGTGGTACCAAGCTTAATCACAGTTTGTGAGCCTGTTGGATTTAAAGCAGCATCCAAAATCCCACCCCAACATTGTAAGTCTGGCGTTAGCATGATGGAAAGCAGCAGCAGTATGTATATTAAGCGTTGACCATCCGTGCTACGAGGGACTTAGTCAAATTCGGCTGCGTTGAAACTTGGTATGGTTTGGTTGAAGCATGTTGAAGCCCTTTGCAAAACACATAAAGAATCTTGTAATTAGTTAGATTTGAATTATAACCCCCCCACCGAAGGTCTACCAGTCTACCAGGTTTGTAGACTGAAGAAACTTGAAATTGAGGCACACCCAAGACAAATCTCGTCTATGCAGTGTTTGTTTTTTTTTTTTAAATAAAGGTTGAGGGTTGATGGGACAGTATAATATTTATATAACCTGGGTGGGGTTATGATTGGGGGCTTTATGGGCTTTACAGGTGACCGGGGAACGTTTTGCGTGAGCTTGAAGGTTTCAGCTACGGGGGTAGCATATATATATATATGCAGTGGTTTCAGCTATATGCAGTGTTTTGTGTGGGCTTGAACACAAGCTTGAAATTGAAATTGGAGAAGGGGCAAGGGCAGAATCTGTCAGTTGCAAGAACTGGCACAGAAGGTTGTCAACGAGGGCCAGGAGCTGCAGGTGAAATTGAAGCGGGGAACAACGTAAAGACATCAGGAGACCAATGAATAGGGGCAGCCCGTGGGGGAAATAACCTGGAAAATGGTCCAAAAATATTGGTAATTTTCAGAAATAGACAGGTAAGTATTGCGGCAAAAAGCTGAACCAAAAGAAGTAGAGGAACTTATATAACCCGATGACAGCATTGCTGCATACCAGCTCCATGCATTTTCGGGATAACTTGCATCAGTCTGAGGTTCCGATGAGCACAAGCTCCGCGTTCTCCGGCTCCAGGAGACTTGCTTTGCTGCCTTTTCCCGGCAAATGGCCCCAAACAGTGTTCAGTAGAACAAAAACAGTGTGCGAGCACACATATGAGAGCACCAATATAAGTAGAGAGGAAACACATGAGAACACATATACATTCTGACTCACTAACATGGAAGTGGAAAATGGCCTTTTGCAAGACTACTTTCCTTCACAAACAGTATGAGAGGGAGTGTACCTTCACGTGAAAACAAACACATGAGAGCATGACACCCAAGAGAGCACTCATGAGAGCACACACATATGAGAGCACAAGCATGAGAGAGCACACATATCAGAGCATATCATGAGAGAGAGGGAGAGAGCGAGAGCACACACACACACACGACAGCACACATATGGGAGCCTATAAAAAACCTGAACTTTGCGATCCTCAAAGGCATGAGCCAGCCTTGCCAGTGCCTTTCGCAACAAAAGGCACTGGCAAGGACAGGATTGAATTGCCAAAGCGAAGGGTTTGCGCAATACTTCTCCCAAATTCCGAGAGCGAAACATATGTCCAAAGTTCACGATTCACTGCTTGAAATCAAAGCATGCCAAAGACCACCACCAAGTCCAAATGCTGCGCCTGCCGAGAAAGCTGCACTTCGAAGTGCAACTGCTCCGATTTCCCGCGCCTGCCACGTTTGCGCGAACCCGGGCAGTGGAAAAGGATTTCGAAGATCTCCATGGGAGCTTTTGGCTGTATGCAATGATCATCCAATTTGCTGCCTACGCCGGTGAGCACCATCGATCAATCCCAGAGCTTAACTATTGCCCCAAGAGCACCAAGTGTGAAGGGCACTGTTTGGGGAAATGCTTGTACACTGTTTGAGTCGATGGTTGAAGCAAAGTGGCTAGCACAACACTTACGCGCGCTTGTAGACCTAAATTGTAGTGTTTTGCGCTGATGCAGAATGGCTGAGCTGGCACGGAGCAGTGCTTGAGGACTGCCTATTGGATCTGGCTGCCTTTTGGAGGCTTGTGGCGGCCTCAACTGTTCTGCCATCGCCAATTATCAGATCGAGATGTGAAGCATGTAATGTAATGTATGAGGCTAACTTCAAGTGCTTAAAATTGCTAGGACTTCACAAGAGGATTGCAAATTTGCCCTGCCCGAGTTGATGGAAACGGAGGTTTGCAGCCCTTCCAAGAAGACCCATGTGTTGTTGGAAAATGCAATTCATTTGTTTTCGAAAAGTGGGGCAGTGGGAGGGGGTGATTGCGGCCCCGGCGTGTCTGGTTTTTTTTTAAAGGGGGTTGGGAGTTGGGGGGCTGGGGGATGCATATGAACATATAAAGGTGTTTTCGTTTCTTTCCTGATCCTCCTCCTACATCTTGTTGTGAACATTGTCACACGTATATAGCCATGGTCGGATGGCATATGCACACCACATAAAGCAAAAAGACACATGCGTTCACATGGCATGCCAGCAACAAATTTGTCTGCACCATTTTCTGTCTGGATTGCCTTTTCTGCACCGTTTTTGGGCTCTATTTGCATCGTATGCCATCTACATGATCTACATGGTCCACTTTCCTGTAGCCGGTGGGTGAGTGGCAGGTGTGCATCCAAAACCACATCCGGTTGGCGTTGGCATATCAAAGGCTTTCTCCTCATGCCAACGTCTTGTTAAGTCCATTTAAGTCCTATACCTTGCACAGAAGCGAGGACATGCAATTTAAACCGGGCAAAGCTCCTTGGTGTTGGCTGAGTTGTGCTCCAATGCCAGCAAGGTCGCCAAGCTTGACAACGATCGGCCCCTCACGCACTTGGACCTTCGTTTGAATCCCATTGGCCGCGGCACTCGCCGCTGCTGGCGCGGCACCATGGCACCCAACATACGATGTGATGCAGGGGGCCCAGGGGGCAAACAGTGCGACAAGGCCCCAGAGGCACGGTCAAGGAGTTGTCCTAGTAGCGTCCTTGTTCCTAGTAGCGGCGCGAGGCCAGGAGCCCCTAGTAGCGTCCTTGCTCCTAGTAGTGATGCCCTTTGCTCCTAGTAGCGTCCTTGCTCCTAGTAGCGATTTCTTGAAGAGCTGCTCCAGCACTCAGGATCGTGTGAAAGGTGCTTTTGATAGTTGTCCATGATCTGGGGTGGAAAGTAGCATGTCGCATTGAGTTATTGTCAGCTGCTGGCATTTGGCAAAAAACGTAGGCGCGTCCAGGTGGGACTACCAGATGTATTTGTCTATTTGTCTATCTATCTATTTATCAATCAATCAATCAATCTATCCATCCATCCATCCATCCATCCATCCATCGATCGATCGATCGATCTATCGAACTATCGACCTATCGACCTATCGATCTATCTATCTATCTATTCACTGTTTCATCTAATATACATAGATTGAGTTCAATCGAAGAGGTGCAGGGAGCAATTTAACGAGAGGTGTTGCAACAAAACCAGCTCGTATGTTCAGATTTTGCCATTCGGTATGTTGCATAAGTTGTACCGCATGTTTTTGTTTAATGCCCGTTTTTTCACAAGACTTGCTTGCTTCAGTGTGTACCCCAAGGTCATGCTGTCAGAACCTTGTCCGTGAGCAAAGCGTCGTTAGCACGGAAAGAGATAGCATGGTACTTGTTCAGGTCGCTGCTGGGCTCACAGTGTTACACGATGCAGTAAACACTTTGTAAAGCGTTGGCACCTTGGGAGCATAGGAAGGGTGAGTTGGTTTTGTGCTTGTGACTTGGATTTTTGACATGCACCTCTTGGGAGACAAGTTTGGCGTCCGGAGTTTGTAGAACTGACCATGAGTCTTCTGCATCTCTGAACCTGGCCCGCTTCCATCCCGCTTCCATTCAATGTGACCTTCTGGGAAGCTTCCATGTTAAAAACACTCAAAGTTCATGTTCGTTCGAGCGTAATCATTTTGGTGTAAAGCAAACTTTTGCCTTGTCGTGATCTTTGTGGAAGTGGCAGTTGCACATGTTGAACGCCACAAGCTTTGCACCTCAGGACCATCCGTTGAAAGCGCGGCGGGAACAAGTGATAGAAGAGCAGCAGACTGGATCGTTTCCGCTTCCCCGTTGGTGGGTTTGACAAAAAGTGGTCTCTTGACATGTTGCTAGCTTGCTACTCGTATGCGGTGATCGCTCCACAGCACGAGTAGTGCAGAGGGCCCTTGACTGTGTTTTGAAGTTGCACCCTTACTAGATTTGCTTGTTTGGGTGCCTGTCGGGCCAACCTTTGCCAATCTGGGCCACCCCCAAGATATCCCAAGATCTCATGCAGTGGGCGCCTCCGAGATTTGGTATATTTGGCCGAAAGACTTGTGCAGCATCACGGAGCCAAGCCTCAGCTTGGACGAGCTAGACATGAGGCAAAGATTCGAAGACTACACAAGAAAAGAGATGGACGTGGGATCTCCAAAGGCAGCTTTTGCCCCAAAAACGTGATCCGCAGCGATAAACTAGATCTACAAAACCTGAAAACAACGAGGATGATAAAAGACTCACAAAATCCTGATGTCCTGTGATTGCGGGTGATTGAGTACAGTACTAGAGTTTGACCGTGGCTCACATGGCTAGACATCCATCGAGATTCACTGGGCCGAAGACGGAACATCCGCCATGGAAGCTACTATGGGAGAGCCCTTGCTGGAGCATTCCTTCAGCAAATACCTTGGACTTCCCAAAAACACAGTTCACAGAGGCAGGGCGATGGTAGCGGTGCCCCCAAACTCCGAAACCACACCCCTGGGTCAGCCTGTTGCTATTGATGTTATTAGTCCTCCATTCTAGTATAGTTGCTACAAGGACTGCTCCTAGTACTGGCCACGATGGGTAGTACAATGGGCTGGGCACCCGGTTTTTCCCGCACACAGTCAATTGCACAAGCAGGCCTCCAATGGCCTACCCAAAATTGAATACCCAAGCCGGGTTCTTGTGGGATGAGGCTGCATAACTTGTCGGTACGGTGCTGCCAGGCACTTTGCTCATGGCCTGTTTGCTGGGAGTTGTGCAGCAGCCTGGCGTTTTCTGTTGTTGGAAAGCCGTCATCATTGTCCAAAAGAGACAGCACCATACCCATACTCTTTGAGTACTATATAACATGTGACACTTGGAGAGACTCAAAGCTACCTACGTCTACACCCCAATGACTTTTGCCCAAAGTGCGGAGCCACCATTGGCATTCTTCGTTCTAGGTATGGGGTCGTCTATGTGTTTGCTGTCGTTGTCGATGAACTGGCCCCATATTATGGATTGAACCGATCTGCTGCAGACGAGCTGTTTGCTTCTCGGAAGAAGTTGCATTTCTCACAAGGTGGGCATTTCCGACGACCTACCATTCGTTCCAGCACACATCATTTGTGACTTGAGGACATGCTCAACTACGGAGCCTGCGCTTTGTCATTTGTTCCTGGCCTTTTGTATGACAAGCTGGGAGCGACCAAAGCAATGGTCATCGGAACCTGTGTAGGCACAATCAGACTCAGCACGTCATTGAAACAACATTGGCACGTTTGGACTGTCAGAAGCTTTCTTAGTGGGCGCGGCCGCAGGTGCTTTGCCAATTCTACTGCTGCTGAATTGGTCATGGCTCGTTGGTTCTGTCGACGTTCTTATAGGCAGTAGCACTGCAGACGGGAAACCTTGTCAGAGTCAAAGTATATTACACAGTTGTGCTGGAAGGGGGCGAATGCAGCCGCCAAAGTAGATCTATGATTTGGACATATTGGATGACATTGTCGCTTTGCAAAACCTGTGACAAGAGAATGCATCAGAATGCGTGCTTTGCTTCCTTCAGGCCTGAAGATTTGCTACCTCATTTTTGGCATGGCCCTGTCCTTCTTTCAAGTAATCGCCACCTTTGCTCCGCTTGAAGCTTTCCCAGTGCAATACCTCGGAGCGGTATCCGCTGCCGTGCAGGCCAGGGAGGGGCAGGGATGGCAAGGGCTGCAGGTCTGGCACACGCCATGACTGAGACAACTTTGAATCAGCGATCACAGTGATCCGAATCAGCGACCACGAATCAGCGACTACGAAGTGGCGATCATTTTCCGCGAATCAGCGACCAGTTTTCGCGGATCAGCGATCAGCTAGACCACGAATCAACGACCAGTTACCCTGCCACAGGGCTTACCGTGTGTGTCTTGGGGTTGGGCTTCACTTCTTTAGGCTTTCTTTGGGCTTGGCTTTGACGTCTTTAGGGGGTTCTTTTCAAAACGGGTGCTCCTGGGAGATGTTCTTCATGCAAAAAAAAAAGCAAACACACCGTGTTTTACAGTGATTTTTGGCTAAAACATCACCAACACCAAGGTTTTGAGCTATTTTTAGTTCAATCTTGTGAGGATCAGGCCTATACATTGTGGTTTACAATTATTTTCGGCTAAAACATGCTAAAAAACATCACCCAAACATACCAAAACCTAGATTTTCAGCTATTGTTAGATCAATTTTGTGAGGGCCAGGCCTATAACAGTTTTGAGGAAATACTACAACACCAAAAACCAAAAACATAAGCAAGAGACTAAAGCAATATCATTGACATACATGTTCATCTTGATGTGTATATATATATAGTATTATATACTATACTGTATATTTATATTCACTCATGATCACTCATGATGCTACATTCATTGCGCGCAGAGAAAGATCAACCTACTCGTCATTGGTGTTACACATTGATAGTAAGCAGACAAAGAGCTGTTATATAATTGTTGTAATTGACATTGCACAGCCAGACTGGGCACAGGAAGGTTGAAACATATGCGTTTCGCCTAGGTCCCAGAGCAGTTTTTGAAAATTTGCACGGTATTTACAGTGTTTTCTAAAGGTTTTGAGCTAGTGTCTGCTCTCCCAAGCACACCCGCCCTCTTGCTCTTTGGGGGTGTTTTGGGTTTGGCTTGAGGCTTCACCTCTTTGGGGTCTTTGCTTGACTTCGCCGGTTTGGATCGATTTTTGTGGCGGCTGTCCTTCCTCCCGTGGTGACCGATTCGGGTTGGTGACCGCAGTTTTGCGGCTTCGCGATCATCTCGGGATCTGGCGACCGACTCCTGGTGTCCGATTCGGACGCCACCCCGGCATGAATAGCACAGAATGCCACGCCATGAATCCGCTATACGGCGATAATGGCTATAATGTATAATGTGCCATTTATACCTTTAGCACGTCAGTTGGACCAGCACTGCAAGAGGCATTCCCACATTTGAAGACGGGGATTTGGTTGGCAATCCTTTGAGGTGAGCACATCATTGGGCGCAACGATCCAATCAGCAGTGTTCTTGCTGCTCAAGGCCGTGACGAATACCGTGGTCAGCATGGTGTGTACCTGGAGTGTCGAGCAGAACTGAGCCACACAAATCTCATGACCTCTTACGCTCGGCTTGTTTGGTCCTGCCAGGCCCACTTCAAAGACTTTGTGTATGCCTACTACCTGAACCTCTGACTCAATTCAACAATTGTGTTTCATCCCCTTGTTGCAATTCTGCCAGTTATGATTGGTTCAACTTGTGCTCCTACTTCCCTCACATCAGGTACATGCTGACATGCACAGTGGGATGCGGAGTTCTCATGGCGTTTGCATTTTGGGAGAATGGTCGTATTTTGCACCGGTCCAAGACCACCATCGACACAGACAACACAGACAGTCTTGGGCTTCCTGGCACGAGTTTCATCGAGTTTCACCGCTCACAGTTTGGTTATGGATTACGTCATCCCAAAACAAAGACTTCTTTTCTCAAATGGAGGACCATGCAAGTTCATGCAGCGTTGATGGGGAACATGCGGACACATCCTCAATGTCCATTCAGATCAAGGGACCGGTTGTGTTGTGTCAGGTAGCGATAGCGGAAGTTTGTTTCCACAAGTCGCCATTCAGGTCATCGTCCAACACATGAGTGGCCCCAGCATCATGACATCTAATGACCAGAAGTGCACTCCTTTGGCACCCAAGTCTCAGGTCTCAGCTGATGTCGGTGAGTTTCGCTTACGATTGCCTTCTATTCTATTTGGGTGTTGGATTTGTTTTCAGCTACTTGGATGCTGCAGGCCAGCATGTCACATGCTGACTCAAGTAAGTGTCCCTCCAGCATTGGGAAGCAAGCAGCAGTCTCAAACTGAAACCGCCGGCTTCTTGGAGCGCTTTTCCCACAGGCATCCTCAATGCGCTGGTGGGTTTGGGTGCCTCTCGTGCCACTGTCGCCTTTGGTATTTACGGTGCCCTTGCAAGGGTGGTGTGCAATCTTGCCCTGGAAGCCTGGATGCAAGCGGACCACATGTCATGTCAGTGGGCCGTGTATACATCATGGTACGATATGACACGTTGTTTTGTTTTTCATTTTATTTCTATATGGTTGGGTAGTGTTGGGTGGTGTTTTTGTTTATGCAACATCTGGTCAGTCATTTATCAGAAAGTGCCTGAAGAAATAGGTGAATGTAGAGTGATTCGACAGCTTTGCCCAGAGGACTTTACAAGAACAAAGCGTTGTGGAGGACCGATGACGATGCTTGGGCTCAAACAATTGACTTTGGGCCATCCCTTCAAGATCTGAATTGATACTTTCAGCCAGCTTTAGTGGAAGAGGAGTGACTAGAGGGAGCGCAAGAGAGAGAAAGAAGGAGAGAGAGAGAGAGAGAGTGGCTCAAGATATCGGCTCAAGGTTCAGGAGGCTCAAGCTGGTGCGTCCTACCTTGAGGTCACGGAGGGCACTGGAGCAACGACACTGACGAGGTCTTTGTCCTGTCCAATTAGGCTGGTGCCAGTGCCTTTGCCCGTGATACGAGACAGCAGAGCCCTACCACCTGATCAACATCATGGAGAAGCATGGCTGGGATGGTTGGCAGTGGGCAAGACGCAAGGGCAAGCGATCCTACATGGTGTGTGGTGGCTGTGAAGCTTCCTGGATCTGGACTGACCGTGTTTCGGACTCCAGGTGGCAATGTGACAAATGCCATACACCCTGGCCGCAGACCACGTGGAGTATGCCTTGGAGGAACAACCCCCGCCGACAGGCACGCACCAAAAGAGACAAAGTGGTGCTGGTTGACAGGCCGCCAGGACTGGGAGCTCGAGACAAAAAGGTTGCCAAGAACCCCGTGGATGACCTGTTGAAGAAAAGCTGGACCACCTTGAATGATGATGTGAAGAAGCCTCTGCAATCGGTTGGCATCGACTACACGCCGGAGCCAGAACTGCAGCCATTGGAGGTGATCTTGCAAGCCCACTTGGAGGCCCTGCCCAAAGAAGTCCGAGAAGCAGTTGAGAACTTGGTTGCACCAGCCAAGCAAGAGCCCAAAGATGTGACCACAAAGCTCAAGGCCACAGTTGGGGAGCTCAGGCAGCTATCAAACAAAAAGGCTGGCCTCCAGAAGAAGGTGGACACGGCCAAAGACCAGTACAAGATCCTGCTTGACGAACTGAAGCTGGTGCAGGAACTGATTGACAAAGAGCAGCAACAGTTGACTGCACAATCTGAGGCCTATGCCAAGATCCTGAAAGAAGAGAATGTCGAAGACACCACCAATGAGACGGGTGAAGTTGATGGTGACATGAATGATCACGTGCTCAAAGCTTTGGCACAAGTTGGCATTTTGTACACAAACACCCAAAAGTCAGATTTGGAGCGGCACCTGGCTGAGAACAAGCTAAAGCGCCGCAAGAAATCTGAGATCCCGTCCTTAGGGTAACCCTGAGCAGGGATGTGAGCAGACTGTTGAGGAGGCGATGAAAAGGTCTGAAGTCATGCAGCAAGTTGAGCTGGGGTCATTGCTACATGCTCAGGCTGCGATAGGGGTTGACGAGCCAAACCAATGGGAGTGTTTGCAAGTGTGGCATGCTTGGGATGACATGCAAGCTTCATGGGGAGATGAACGACATGAGCATGTCAATTGGAGATGTGGACAATCCTGCTTGGATGATGCCTGTGTTCAAGGTTGGCAGCCGTATGTGGGTTTGGAAGAGCAGTTTGATATCCCTGTCAATCCGCAAGGGGCTGGCAGCCATGACATACAATTAGGGGTTGACAGGCTGAATTCACAAGTTTTTGAGCTAGCTTGTCGCGCTCGGTGGGGAAACATGGGCGCTGATGGCAAGCCATGGAAGCAAAGTGGATCCTCAGAACACACTGAGGATGAGGGCACTAGTGAGCAGGCACCGTGTTCTTCTATGTCAGAGCAGCTTGTAGAGACTGCTTCAGACGGGACCTGCCTCACCAGTGCTCAAAGTGGAAGGTTGGATCAAGGCCAAACAGAGATGGTGGTCTTGATGCAACAAAGTGATCAGCAGGCAGACGTGAACGGAGCCTTCAGTTCGAAGATGTTGAGGGATAGCCGTGGCATGAAAGCCTGCACCAATGGCAAGCACTCTCTTGAGGACGCCCCAAACATGAGAGGTGAATCAAGGGCAAAGAGGCGGGGGAAGGGGCAGAAGGGGCACTGTGCTCTTCTATCTCAGAGCGGCCAGGCTCGCCTGGACCTGCTTTTGAAAGGACCCTGGAAGCCCCAATCCTTCACCTGCCAAATGAACAAATTGGGTATCCAGTGGGCTGTTCCAGCAGCCCACTCTGTGGATCCCAAACCAGGCCCTTTTCGGGACCCACAGGCAATGGGTACCAATGCTCTCTCCTTGGTGGGGGCAAACGAGCAAAAGTCAGTGGAGAAGATGAGATCCTTGAGGATGAAGATCAGTATGCGGAGAGAACTGCACCAGGACATTTGAAGGACAGGCTAGTTGTCCTACAGGAGAGAGCAATGGAAGCAATTCAGGCCTTGCCCATACAGTGTGCAGACGACATTGAATTTGGGCAAGTGGAGACCAGGGTGTGGGGCTTGGAGGCCTTGAAACATGTGCTCCGCATGAGGATGGCACTGCAGAGTAACTTGATGTTATGCAGGCCAGTGGAGGCGGACCCCAAGATCCCGCCGGCGATTGAGCTGCTGGCGGCAAATCTCACACTGTGCATCCACAATAAAGGCAATCGCTGCTATGCAAACTCGGTGATGAGGATGTGGTGCTGGATGGGTGCACATCACAAGAATCCAGCAGAGTTTTGGGGACAGTCCACCAAGCTGTGTATGCAGCTTCTGCAGCAGGACGAGATTGATGATATCTTTTGGGCCTCAGAGATGCAACCTATCATAGCAAGGTTGGAAAGGCCGCAACAGCAACATGATGCCTCGGAGTTTTTGGTCCTGATGTGGGAGCTCTGGCAGCAGACGGGCCTACAAGGAAATTGGGTGTCAAATTTTGGTGGCAGAAATCATGAGTTTGACACCATACCCATCTTTGTCAGAATGCCTCCTGACTTAGGGGAGGATGTGCAACTGTCGACCCTGCTGTCGATGTGGGCCAATGAAGCGAGTGGACAATGCCTGGGGCAAGAAGTACAGCATGTTGTGTTTCACATTGGGCGGTATTCAGTGATTGATAGGGTTTGGACCAAGCACAATCACAAGTTGATCACACCGCCAATGTTTCAGTGCCCGCAGATGACGTCGACTGGCCATGCAGCTCCTGCAAATTTTGTGTTGAGAGGTGTCATTGCACATCAAGGAATGGAGCTCATCAGTGGTCACTACATCACCATGTTGGTGGAAGGGCAAGCGGTTTGGATCGCAGATGATGGTGAGTGTCCAAGAGCGGTGAAAGAAATTCCGAGCATTATCCAAGAAGGCACAGTGATGGTGTGGGCCTCAAAAGCTGAACCCTCGGATTTCTGGTCCAATCCCATTGGTACTATACAACCACCGCTGAAGAGACCGAAGATCCTGCAAGATGAGGTGCAATTGTTCTTTAGCAACATCACTCAATGGAACAAAGAGGTCTTCCAATGGCTCATCCAGCAAGACCTGCAGATTGCGCTGCTGGTGGAGACACACATAGCAGGCCCTAAGCTGGAGGCTGCCATGAGTGACCTGTGTAGGTCTAGATGGATGCCCACCTTCCTGACTGCATATGAGACGGGCAGAGGAGGCACAAGTGGTGGACAAGCCTTTTGCTGCAGGGAAGGGCAGACGGCCTACAAGCTGCACCACTATGACCATGAAGGAAATGGATATTTGGCCAATGTGGTCCAACGGCAGGACTGGGAACTATGTGTCATTTCAGTGTACCTCAAGTGTGGGGAGGACCTGAATTCGGTGGCCAATGCAAAGAGTGCTGGGACAGGTGGCAGCCTTGGTTCAGGAGCTTGCTATACCATGGCTCCTGATTGGGGACTTTCAAGTCCCGCCTGCACAGTGGGATGGACACAACTTGTTGAATGTCCTGAAAGCGGAAGTGGTGAGCAGTGGCCAACCGACCATGATCAATGGAGCTGAAATTGATTACATTGTTGCAAGTAGGGCCATTGCACCGTATCTGGACCCCAAAGTCAACTGGGATGTACCATGGAAACCACATGCTGGATTGATGGTACATGTGGCGCAAGAAGCACCTAGACTGGCCTTGCAACAATTGACACAGTTTTCCCCGGTGCCCAGAATGGAAGAGGCTGAAAAGCCTTGGGATCACTTCGAGCCGGCCCCAAAGCCTTTCTGGCTGGGTAGGCCAGTGGGTCCCAAAGAGATCCAATGTGCAGAGTTTTGCCACCAGGCTGAACAGTTTGCTTTACAACAATTGCATCAGCCAAAGTATGGCAGGGGATGGTATCTGGCCTTGGAAATCAAGCCGCTTGCCAAGACAAAGCCGCTGACACCGTGGAGAAGGGGTGACTTAGCCTACTGGGGGCAGATGAGCTCCCTGCTGCAACATGTGGCCCAGAGAGGAAGCATCGGTGTGGGAGCCATGGCTCATCTGAGAGCCAAAGCAGCTGACCTCACCAGCAGATGGCAGGACATCCATGGGTTTGAAGATTTCCAAGCAGGCCTGCAAGAGCTCATCAATGGGGGAGATGCCCCAATAACCCTGTTGATACAAGGTGCGGATTGCAACAAAGAGCAAGCTCAAAAACTGGCATTCAACCGGCAAGCTGATGAATACCAGAACTGGCTGTCTCAAGCAACCCTCAGGGGGCACAGTGGCATCTACAAGTGTTTGAAGGCCCCAGATGCGGTTCACGTCAGACCTTTTCGCAAAGTGCCTGTGCAGCAGAGACAGCAGATGAGGGAAACACAATGGTTTGGAATGTGGCAGGTTGTTGACAAGCCCAAACCAAATGGGGAGAGAGAGCGGTTGAGATATGAAGGCATTGTGCAAGCCCGGCAATGGGAAGATCTTGATCCCCACAAGGTGATGAAACAACTCAGCAAACTCCCTCAAAAAGCTTCAGGACCAGATGGAGTCAGCTATGCCTTGTTGAAAGCCCTGCCCATTGAAGGGGTCACTGCTCTGTGCAACATGTACAGGAAGTGGGAATTGGAAGGCCGGCTGCCTGATCAAGTGCGCACAACATTGGTCCTGCTGCTCCCCAAAAAAAGAAGACATTGAGAGGCCCATCTCATTGACGAGTGTGCTGTACAGGACGTGGTGTCGATTGAGATGGGACAAACTGCGACCATGGCAGACCAGCATTGGCCAGAAGCTCAGTTGGGAGCGAAGTGTGCCTGGCACACATGTCCTACAAGTTGCCCTCATGAGGCTGCTGAAATGTGAGGTAGGCCGTGCCACTGGAAAGCATGTGGTCTCGCTTCTGGTGGACCTGCAGTGTTTCTATGACAGTGTTGTGCTTGAGCAACTGTTGGAAGCATGGGAGCCTTTGGATTTCCCGCCTGCAGTGATGAACATGGTATACGAAGTGTATACCGGGCCACGGCTGCTCCAGGCCGAACAGGTCACCTCCAAACCTGTGATCTGCTCAAAAGGAATCCTGGCCGGATGCCCTGCAGCACCGTTAGTAGCCAAGTTGATCCTGGCGCCAGTGTTAGGCCCTTTCAAGGAGCAGTTCCACAAAGCCACCATAGATGTGTGGGTGGACGACATCTCCATTGACTTCGTTGGGGATAGTGTGAGAGGAGTTTGTCAGGAGGCCCTCCATGGATTTGACGTCTTGCAACAGAGGCTCACGGATGCTGGACTGACAATGTCCCTGGCCAAGACTGGGTACCTCGCCTCATCGAATGATTGCAAGAAGGGGATCACCCTGCTGAGGAGAGAAGACCAACCCACAGTTCACGAACTCCTGAAAGATTTAGGCTTGGACTCCAGTGGAGGTCGACGGAGGAGGATTGGAACACAGCAAAAGCGGCTTCTCAAGGCAGGAAGGCGAAATGCCAAGCTGTCCCATTTGAAGATCAAGGCCAGACCCATCCGGATTAGAGTTTGGAAGACCTCTGTACACTCTGCGGCATGCTATGGTTTGGAAGCTCAGGGCATTGCACCACAGCGCCTGCAAACGCTTCGAACACAGCTGGCAAGACATGGAGGCCTCCAGAAAGGAGGCAGTGTTGATGTTGTGTACGACCAGAATGAGAAGCTGCAAGATCCACTTGCCACGGTGGTTGAGAGACAACTCAAGGCCATGCACTTGCTTGTCCTCAAATGGCCCCCGGAGCAACTTGCTGAACTCCACACTGCCTGGAGAATTAGCTGGAGAAGATTGAAAGCAGCGGCTTATCCTTGGATGGTGGTCACTGGACCAATGGCAGCACTTCAGGTCTATATGATGGACATGGGTTGGGATGCCAGTTGTCTCAATGATTGGGTGCGTGCTCAAACTGGCTTGCTGCCAACAGCCCAACTCAATTTAGAGTTCCCTTGGCCCTATCTTCAAAGACAGCTGCAGCAAGAACTTGCAAATCAAAGGGCACGCAGGATCCAAGAGTTGGAGCATGCCTTTCCCCTGATGAGAAGGCCTGACTGGAGCATATATCGGAAGGCAATGAAGCAAGCTTCACCAAGTCAGAAAGTGGCAATCAATGCATGGACGCAGGGTTCATTGAGGGCACACTATGGTGGTGAGAGGATGATGTGTCCTACGTGCCAGGTTCCGGTGAGCATGAAACACCTGGTCTGGCAGTGCAACTATCACAAGGATGAGTTGCCGCAGGAGTGGAAGCAGATGATTGCAGCCAATGAGAATACTATGCTCTGGGCCAGGGGGCTCATTGATCAGCCGGCCTTTGATCCATGTGAGGGTGCTGATTCCTGTGAAGTTGATGGCATCTTCAGTCATGGATGGCCTGTGAGGATTGGCCCCCATCAGCGGTTAGCCATTGGTGTGCAGCAAACCAGCAAAGACCCGAGGGTGAGGAGATATGCTGTAGCGGCGGTGGCAATGCAGTGGCAGGTTGATGCATGGCAAGTCATTGGGCAATGCACTGCCATCGCCCCAGGGCACAGCACTGAAGCAAGGGCATGGTTCTTTGGCTGTTGGCTGGTCCTACAAATGGTTTTGGGCAGGCATCAGCTAAACATACCTCACCCAGCAGGTTGGACGGCCATCCAAAAAGGTGCGGCAGGCAGAGTGGCCCCTGATCTGTGGCATAATTTGCCAGAGGATGAGTGGAAGAGGCTGCAGGTGCTTCAAGTGCCGTGGAAGCTGATGAAGAGTCAGGCCACCCATGACCGGGGCAGGCAGCAGTACCTCCTGGCAAAGCAACTGGCAGTGCAGAGGGCTCATCGAGAACAGCCGAAGTCCCTGGAACAGGAGTTGGTGATTGAGGACCAGCTGCACTTGGAAGTCTACATGACTGCAGCCAAGAGGATCAGCAAAATGCTGCAAGACAAAGAACACTATATGAATGGCAAGTTGGAGCCTGTGCCTGACAGCGGTCCTAAGGAGACCAAAAAGAAGCCACCACAAGGTCGATTGGCCCTTCTTCGCCAGCTGACGTTAAGGGAGAGACAACCAGGCACCCATGAGTGGGAGATTTACAAGGCTGGAATCCAGTGCAAGCACTGCAACCGCAAGATAAAAGGCTGTGCGACGCATGCAGAGATTGCCCATCAACAGGACACAGTTTGCAGCGGGTTTGCAGCACGAACCATGGAGCAACAGATGCGGGAGTTGGTGGACAGCTCGGACCTTCTAGCAGAAGGCCACCCTGGACATAGATGGGTTCTGCAAGGCAGCAAATTTGGGTGCAAGCAGTGTTGGGAGAGCATCCCACGGCGTAGCAGCAAGCATCACCTTCAACAGTTGCTTGCAAAGGACTGTGCCACAGGCCCTGTTGATGAAGCTGGCCTCAACTTGAGACTTCGCATCCACACCAGTCATTGTCTTGTGAGAAGAGGCAGATGGGTTGAGTGCCAGCAATGCCTCAGAAGCAGCCGGGTGGTTGATGGCAGGCTGCAGCAGTGGGTCCATCAACACTGCGTCAAAGCAAAGGGCCAGCAAAAACTTCACTTTGGGCCCAGAAGTTCGGAGAGCTAGATGCTTGGAGGTGGTTGCAGATCCCAGGTACAAGGCGAAGAGAGCCTTGCCTGGTGCCACTTTTGGCCTACGGGCTGTGGCGTCGCTAGAGCAGACGCAAAAGAGCCGAGAAAAAAAAAGAGAGAGAGAGAGAGAGCCCGCGCGAGGGAGAAGAACGACGCCGGCGCATCAAGTGTTACGTATGTTTCAAGTTGAAGCGGGGTGTTTTGGCCAGGTGCCAAGTGCCATGGTTGCATTGTGTTGACGTTCTAACTTCAGCTGCGCATCAAGGTACATTGCATTGTCCTTGATTTCTCTAGCTACAGGCGGGCATTAGGAATTTTCATCGTAAACATCCATACAGCTGAAGTTGATGACGCTATTGCTGATCAGTGATCCATGCATAGCACATTTTGCCTATATGATGTATAAACAACATTAGTTGAACTATATACAAAGATGCTGAGACAGATTCATTGAAAGAATGAACACATGAACAGTAAGAAGTCACACTGGCAGTGGGGACACGGCTGAAGCTACTTGAGTTGCGTGAACGCAGGCTTGCTGGCAGTAGCCGTTGCAGCACCCAGCAGGGGCTCAGTGATTGCCAGGGTCCCAAAGACGCCCATCCCAGATGTCTACCAGGTAGCCTCGAACTATGACTGGCTACCGGTTACATTTTTTCTTTCTTCATTTCACCGTTGCCGCGCCCAGGCCATGAACATTTTCTGCAGCTTTGGTGCTGGAGGGCTGCTAGGCATCACCCCAGCAGCCCTGAGGCGCGAACACGATAAACAAACGCATGGGCAGAGACATGGACATGGAATGAGATGGGCTGAGATGGGCTATCTCATATACACAGTTGTCAAATGTCAAGGGCTGTAGAACCTACGCATTGCTGGCTGAAGTTTTTTGAGAGTTGCTTTAGCAAACTAACAAGTTGCGTTTCTTCTTCCAAATCTTTTATATCGTTTCAGATCATCATGCCATATAAAACTCGCAAAGCTTTGATTTCAGCTCTGGTATTTGAGGGAATCGAAGGATACGTGGTGCCGCCGCTGAATGTGTATATACATGCAAGCATATGCAAGCTCAATCCAGGTGAATCAATTAAATTTGACGAGTGCATATGGAAAAGCCTGTTGCAAGCTTTGAGCTTGGTTGGAACGACCCTATCCAGTCCTTTTGACGGCCTTCTTGTTGATGACATGGACCAAAAGGCTTGAGCTGTCACACCAGCAGAGACTACAGCGGCATCACTTGTTCCAGGCTATCGTTTGGTTCCGGATCTCTTGGATTGATCTACGGGCACCCCGGCTTGGATCGTAGGTTCAACCGAGCGTGCCAGTGGTCTGGTGCTCCCAGAGAGGAGACATAAAACAATTTTTTGTGATTTTTGTGCAAAAACCAGGCACGGGGCATGCATCTCATTGTCGGTGTGTCCACGGCTCTTGTGAGATGAAGGATCAAACCATTGCTCAGTCTCAGTCAATCAATCAATCTCAGTAATTACCTGAATTTTTAGCTGAGGCTCCTATATGTCCTAACCTCGCTGGGCATACCGACATGGGGATCCTTGCTCCCAAGACCGACGCAGAGCTGGAGCACTTATTGCGGGACAGGCTATGCTGTTCTTCCCGTTGCGTGCAGATGTTTGTGAATGGATCTCCCTTTCGTGCTTGGGCATGTCCTGTTTTTGCACAGCGAGGTGGGAGAAGCGGTTGTGAGTCTTTTTTGGACGCACTAACACTACTGTTTGAACACTGGAGGCGCGTTCATGCAGCTTCTTCTGGCTGTGGGCGCCATTCTGGTGGGAGCCAGGTTGGTGGCAAGCTCTTCCAACGCCTCCACTGAAGCCCCCTCAATGCTCAAATCATGCTGAGGGGCGACACTAGTATGGAGAGCTGTGGTGTAGAATTTCACAGGTCAGGGTTTATAGTCAACAGTTATGTTTGAAAAAGATATATAAGTTTTTGAAAAGACACCAAAAAACAAAACCTACAATCCCGCAGAAAGATACCAGCAAGGTGAATCCAGCAGTTTGGACTCAGGAAACGTTGTACAAATACTAGGAACTTGCAGGAAAATGCAAACATACATACCAATCAAGCAAACCCTGGGCTCAACAAACCGCGCATGGCACACGGCCATCTGTGAGTCTGTGTGAGCCAGCTTGTCTCTTTTTTCTCCTGTGACTAGCGACTTCTGCCTTCAGTCTATCATCAGCTCCGTGGCTTTGTTGGGTGACAAACGCTTCGCTCAAGCATCTTGCCCTACACCACGCAAACAACAAAGGTTTGAAAGGCAAGGCCTTCCACTTGGAGGCTGAAGTATTTTGCTTCTTGCCATTGCAATACACCGGCTATCATTCCAAAAAAAGTTATACTTAAAAACAAGGAACCATAACTGGCAGCGCTGGCTACAAACAAGATTGTAATTCCAAAACAAAAGCTAGTATATATTCCGATTCCAAAAAAGACTTCAAAAAAGAACCATACCTGGCAGCGCTGGCTACCAAAAAGTTATGATTCCAAAACAAGCTATAGTTCCAAAAAAGAAAAACCATAACTCGCTGCACTGGCTACCAAAAAGTTATGATTCCAAAAAAAGGTTATAGTTACAGTTCCAAAAAATGGAACCATAACTTATGATTCTTTTTTCAACATGCATAGCCAAAAACTATCAAAAACCTTTCAAAATCAAAGGTGTTTGCTAGTTTGGGGCTCTGTAAATCTAGGTTTTTCACTAAAACACATAGCTCAAAACTAGCAAACACAATTGATTTTGACGGTTTTTTGTTAGATTTAGGCTATGCATTTGTTTGGAAAATAATCATAAGTTATGGTTCTTATTTTTTGGAACTATAACATTTTTTGAATCATAACTTTTTTGTTTGGATTTTTTTGGAATCATAACTGTTTGGTAGCCAGTGCAGCCAGTTATGATTCTTTTTTTTGGAACTATAACTTTTTTGGGAATCATAACTTTTTGGTAGCCAGTGCTGCATCATAACTTTTTGGTGGGCACTGTCCGCAGTTATGATTCCTTTGTGTGGAAAGCAAGGGCGATTGACAGAATATTGACTAGACATAAATCTGTGGATGTTCGTCAGATTCACACACTTGATGTTTGGATAGTGGTTGGCTCGGCGCGGTTGGCATCCCTTTTATATTGAACCTGGTGGCAGCATGACATGTGCGTTCACACACATAATGTGTGTGTGTGTGTTTGTTTGTGTGTCTTTGTGGTTATCTTAAACTCAAACCTGTCGCATACATTCTTAATTTTGGCCTACTTGTCAAACTGAGATTGGCCGTTAATAAAGTGGAACCATATGGAAGCTCTGGAAGCACCATGCACCCTGCGACATAAAACCAAGACACGAGGATTGCACTGAAGCAGGAATTGGGATTGATTATGGTTTTTGTTTTAAGTTCAACCATCTTAAAAGTTATGATTCTTTTTTGAACTGAACCGCCTTGACTTGCGAAATTTGACAAGCTGTGGATGTTTTCGCTAGAGTTTGATAGAGATTGGAACATGGTGAAAGGAAGAGTTGCTTGACCTTGAGGGTGGAGGTTTTCTGAGCCACCTTTGAAATGCCCAAGTCGGGAGACATTGGGGGGTTTTGGATGTTTTGGAAATTTGTTCCTTGACAAACGCCCACGGTGCAGGTGAAGCCTCACAGCTTGGCAGATGTTTTTGGCCAATGATCTGCTCTGGATGCAGTGAGTGAAGCACTTTCCAAAGTTGAAAGTCTAACCAGCCAGATTTTAAAGCTGGAATTGTTTCTGAGTTGGCGGAAAACTATTTTGAGCACCACAAATGAATGGTTGGCATGTTTCCTTTTTTAGCCGGAAGCGGGCGTTGTCAGTCGGTGCTAGCAAGTGAGCCTTGTGACGCAATGGGAATAAACACATCCAGCCTTTGCCAGACTGGTGTATTGGTCGCTAGGCAAGCCCTTAGAGCAGCGAAGAGACACTCTTGGGACACCAAATTACAGTAAGTATCCGAAATACAGCGCACAGAAGTGACGCCAGTGTGTAGATGGTCAGGAGCATGTCCTTTGTGCGTCAGGACTTTGTCGCAACATCGGCGGGCATCCAGTACTCTCGCCCTTTAGGCATCCAGTCCTCGCCTCAGGATGAGTGTCGCATGAGTGTCGCCCAGTGCAGCTGAAAAGGTGGAAGCAGCTCTCGCAGTACTCCCGCTTTCAAGACAAGAGCATGGAGGTGGTTTCCTGAAATAAGCACACAAACGTCACACAAACTGACTCCCTTGAAAGGAGAGAGATTGGCCGAATGTGAACTCCTGGCAGTTGAGCATGTTGGAATGCAACCCATTGCAAAGGAACCCACTTGGGGTTTATGAGCGGGAGGGGTTCGTTCAACCCTTGTTTTTCCAGACGTGGGTTGAAGCTAGTCTGCAATGTTACAACATGTTACAACCAACATCAACCAACTAGTCTAACCAAGTGCCCTAGCAGCACAAAGATTGACGCGTTCTTTGCAGGCGACGCCACTTTGGAGCTACAAGGTGTGGATGGCACAAAATGGCAAACCATCAAATGGGAGGCTGTTAATGTGATGCAACCGAATGCAACTAGCAATGGCTTTGCTAGGCGAGATCAGCGGATGAGATTAGCCTCACCAAAGGCACTCACCTCAGCTATGCCACAGGCTGTTGGTCTATATACTGTTCACAGTCAGAGACACACATCATCTTGTAGACAAGACGCGCCGTTTGGAGAGGGCAAGGTTTCTATTTGCTATATATATATATATGTGTGTTTTGTTTTGAGAGTATTGTTGCAGTAGGGAAAGTTCACCCTTTAGAATCATTCGTTGCCTCTGACAGTCTGCACTAAGGCCTCAATGTGACAGTCCAGAAGATCACACCTGGCTGGTGGCCCCAGCCTTAGACTGTTTGAATGGAATTATATATATATAAAGCTGGTTGCATGTTTCATACTATAGCACACTCATGTTCTTACTTGATTCCTTTGCTAGTAGTAACAGGTGCATCGCTAGTAGTAACAGGTGCCTTACTAGTAGTAACAATGTTTGCTACTAGGACATTGCCTGGCCAGCTTCGGTCCCTTGGTTGGTTGTGCTTCGGTCCCTCAGGGTGGGCTCCGTGGACGGCAAGCAAGGATGCGGCCTCAGCATCAATTTAGTCGTACTAGTAAGTACTAGTAAGGCACTCAGCATCTACTTCTAATTGTTACTACTAGTAAGGCACTTGTTACTACTAGCGTGGCACTTGTTACTACTAGTAAGGC